CCTGTCTCGCAGTTATGAAACTCAACTTGCTACTCTCCTCATATTCAAACTTCACCGGTTTATCAAAGCAGTTGATATACACATGGTTGAACTCCAACCAATTCATCCCTAAAATAACATTGAGTTGCCTTAGAGGCAAACAAATTAAGTCAATCTCAAAATCTCTACCGTAAATTGTCAAAGGACAATTGTCAAAGAACAATTCACACACAGCAAAAGAGTAGTCACTAAACCACACTTTGTTCTAGTTTAGGAACCAAAACAGACTCATCTAAAACCAGCACTCTTGCAATCAGTGTCATGTTAAACCAGCCTTCCACACCTAAACTATCTCAAATAAGTTGAAGCTTCTCCCTCACTTGTTTCGATCCTGATCGTGCTATCAAGCGGTTAGAAAAATAAATGAGCACTAACAGTATTTCACACATATGTCGCATGCTAGGGAACAAAAAAAATTACAAAAACCTAGCCTGATGGACCAACCAGGCTCTGATACCAACTAAATAAAACCCTAAACCAAAAAAATCATATAAAAAGATTTAATCGATAATTTAAGGTGTCATTATGACAACCATCCAAAATCTTCCGAAAATATTTAAAAACATGTAGAGGAAAACCATGTCACAACAACTTTAAATTTAACTTTCAGAAATAAAGTAATGGACTTTAAAACACATAATTCGGCATTAACACAAAGCATAGTAAAAATACCCTGTTCTCGATGTTACAAATTAGAGCATTTAACTGATTAAAACTGATAAACAATAAAGTAAATGAAGATGATCTCCAATGATATCTTCTAACTCGCAACAACTACTACTCATATTCTTGAGTATTTGTATACATTGTACATCAACACACAAATACAACAATAAAGGGGTGAGCATACACTCAAATATGTTAGCGGTGCCAAAGACCAGAAAAGGTAGCATAAATAAAAACAACAATAACAACATTCATCACAAGTAATGTATTTACATAGCCATCATCAATTCACAAATGCCAACTTGTATACAATGTGACAACACCTCAACTCTATATGCATGTGGTACCAACTCAACAATAATTCTTCATATGAACCGAGTCCTAACATGTGAACCCCGATCTGTAACGTCTAAGCTTTAAGCCCTAACATCTGAGCTTGGGACAAGTCACTAGTCCCAACATTTGAACTCGTGACTCGCCTCTTTCACAACAACGACAACATGTGATGCATGACATAGGATAATGCAACGACAATAACACAACAATGATTACAGCCCCACATCTGATTGCAAACAATCTTGAAACAACAACACAACAATGATTGCAACCCTGACATTTGACTATAAACAATCATGCATTTAAATGCATTGATAATAGTTCTCATTTCTAACTATGCATCTCAACAATCATTAGCAAGTATTTACAACAATTCATGTGATTATACTTTCACTTCATAACATGTAATCATACATCAAATAAGCATCCACATAACATACAATCATATCAATTCACATTATCATTGCTTCATTATTAATTCATTTATTCATTACGATTAACCATTCGCTATTTACAGTTAGCCGTTACACAATAAGTAAATCAACTAAATTTCACAAATTCCAGTACCCATCCAACCCCTTAATACATCATTATGGGATAGCCATACACATTTGCTTTCCAACGCTTTAAACCGAACCTCAAACGGGTTCATGAAACTCAAGTTAAGATCAAAACCATATTTGAACCAAATCAGCCTAGTTGTGATGTGGACCGTCACCAAACTGACGACTGTCATGTCGCAATAGAATGCAGAAACGCTGTAGAATGTAGAATTATGCATTTTTTCACCATTGAAGGCCTTCCGTACCTCTGATTTTGATTGTGTAAAAAGTCAAATGCTTAGAATTCGACACACAATAATTAAAGCATATTAATTTCCTACAGATTAACATCTAATTTCACCAATTAATCATGAATCAAAATTATTCTCATGAAATCAACAACACCCTCAATAATAACAACACACAGTTAAACATGACCTAGCACACAAATCAAATCATGAATCACAACAATTGGAGATATACCTCACACCGATTTCATCAAGAACACATGAACACATCAACAATGGTAGAATCAAAAGATAACCCTAGAGGAGGGTGAGGGCCTCTATCCACCCTTCATATAATATACACCCCTTTTAGAGTAATATTCCCCCTTACATTGGATTTTCAACAAAGTAAGCCCTAAGCTCCTCAACGATGGCGTGTTCTTCCAAACTCTAGGTTGCCTCTCTTGCCTATTTTCTCTAGTTGTAAAATAATACTTACTGTAAAAGTTCCAGCCCTAATTAGACAACAACATAACCAGTAATCTGAGTAGCATTAAGAATCAAGATAATTGGCAATCAATCTAGAAAATAACTTGTCTTACAAATTGACACTAGAGAAATCAACGAATGTACGTGACATATTACATTATGCCTCATAATCTTGGTGATGTGATTGTAATGCATGTGCATCAATATAATATGAGTACAATTATACAAAAATAAGGTCGCTTTACAAAAGTGAATTACAACTTAGATCACGTGGAATCCACCTGATGGTGATTGAATCACTCTTAATACTGATTGAGCAGTTCACAGGTCAGGGAGAGCAGAGTGTGGTGGTTCATGAGGATTAATTTGGTTAGTTAGATTGGAGGTTTCATAAAGGGCATAGGGAGGTGTGCAGTTAGAGTAGCAGAATTGATGGATGTGTGTGAAGGTATCAATTTGGTTGTTGACAAAGAATTTTGAAAAATAATGATTCAAATTGATTGCATTAAAGTGTACAATAAACTTATCAAAGATGGTGAGAGAATAAGAGAAGGACTAAGTTTACTCCGACGAGTCAAATATAAAATGCGTCAAGAATTAGAGATATAGAGATTATATTGATACATGTGTATCAAGAAGTTAATAAGTATGCGGATCTCCTTTATACTAAAAGTTAATTTTAGCTAAGATTTTGTTTATCATGACTATTACCTTCAAGATATATGTTAGCCTATTAACATATTATAGATCCACCTCATTAAAGAGAATTATTGCATAATTTGTGTTTACTTTTAAACTTCGACCCTCCTTAATTCAAATAAAAAGAATCCATCCTAGTAAAAGAAAGGTTAAGTCTTAATTTGCACAAAAGTGTAACCCGACCATTTCTCAAGGACATGTTTATATGCTTAATCTTTAAACAAAAATGTCTGTCCTATATGCTAATTTAATTTCCAAATGTAATATTGAATGTGAGTGAGAAATAAAGATAGGGACAAAACAGCATAAGAAATGAAGTTATCTTTTTCTATCTAGGGAAGGCAAATAAAAGGGTTAAAATAAAAGGAGGAAATTAATAGGGGCATTCCAGTCAATGAGAAAGGAACTGTCATTCAAAGTTTCAACCTATAGTGTCAAGAAACAGAATCATGTTCTTTACCTCAATTTTTACCTTTCATACTTTTCCCTGTCGCCATCCCAAACTACTGTACATCCTTGTTTTTCTATTTTCATAAAAAGCCCTAGCATTGCCATCGATTTCATTTCTTCTCTGTCTATTCACCAACATATTAAAGGAATATTAATATTGCCATTAATATAAGACATGAAAGTCTTACTTTGCACCATCCTTTTAAGGCAAAAAATAAATAAAAGTTAAAGCCTATATAAAATCACATAGCACAAAATCTATTTTTTCAATTCAATAAATAAACTCAAATAATTAATATGTTTGTAAAAATAAAAAATTATTTAAAAAAATTAATATTAAATCACAATTAAATAATTATTTCTTAAATTTATTTATTTATCAACTGAAATACACATTAAGAGCCATAAAAGAAGTCGTTTGAACTTTGAACATGTCCGTTTTGTCAATATTTTTTTCGGTCAGATCAAAAGTTTTTTTTTTACAAACTAGTGTTTATATTTGCACTCTCAACTAAGTCGACGAGAGTTCCATCCCATTGTTTTGAACTTTTACGAAAAAAAAATTAGGAGTGTAAAACTTGCATGTTCGTCTCACCTTAATATTTTTATAGAATGGACTAATATTTCATCTATTTATTCTCAAATAAGTTTGAATAGTTGGATCTTATTTATTTGAGTTTGTAGATGCGAACATTAACTTTTATGATATAAAATTTGCATGTTTGTCTTACTTTTTTTTTTGAGAATGAACTAGATCTGCATTTTCAACTAAATTCACACTATTCCTTTCATTTTTTTAGAATGAGCTAATATTTTAGATTCGCATTCTTAACTAAGTTCACACAATCCCTTTTATTTGTGATTTTTCTTATTTGTATGAACTAAATGAGCCAGTTATATCTATTTGCCATCTCAAATTACTTATTTTTAGAAATAATTTTTCGGCATAAATAATTATATAATATTTATGTTTAATATAATTTTAAAAAGTTGTTTAAAGTTAAATCATTACCATTTTCATAAAAAAAAAATTAATTTGACCACTTATGTTGTATTTATGTGACTTTTTATTTCTTTCTAACATATTCAAGAAAGAATACAAGAAGAAATAATAAAGGGAAAAGTCCAGTCACCCCTCCCATCAATCTCATCACATATCCTGAAACTAACATAAAAATCTTCTTTTGCTTCACCACTTGAAGAGGTCCTTACACACCATACCATAACCATACCATACAATCAATCTCTCTCTTTCTTCTCTCTCACAAGAAAACAAATCAGTCTGTAATATCAATCAACATATCAGAGTTTGTTTTCTTTTCATTTTCTTTCAGCTAGTTTCTTTTCCTAAAATTGAAAAACCATTAAAATATATTATTTTCCCTAAATTATTAGTACATCAATCTTTTATCTTCTCCTCAGTTATAAATTCCAATCTCCATCCTTTATTCTCACTCCCTCACTCACTCTTGTCACTGTCTCTTTAAGAACCCTAGGAAAAAAAACCATCAAAATACATTGGATCTATATCTATACAAGTTTTCAACCATCCATGGATTCAATTCAAGATTTTATGGACTCATGTAACTCTGACAACAATTGCAGCCTCACCAACAGCACCATCACCACCAACAACACCACCAACAACATCAACAACAACAACGCCTTAATCTGCAGCTCTTCCCCTTCTGGTTCTACAACCACCAGCAGCCGCTATGAGAACCAGAAACGCCGTGACTGGAACACCTTTGGACAGTACCTCAAGAATCACCGCCCTCCTCTCTCCCTCTCCAGATGCAGCGGTGCACATGTTCTTGAATTTCTCCGGTACACACCAACAAATTCATAAAAAAACAGTAACAAAAACTTCAAGACAAATACATGAAATTTCATCTCTAATTCTTTGATAAAAAGAACTTCATTTTTTCTTCAAACTAGGGTATGATCTTTCTTTTTTGTGAAGCTTCTAACTAGTATATATTCATGCAACTTGAAAGAGATCTAGGGTTATGCATTTTTGTGGATTTTTTTTTGTTGAATTTGTTAATATTTTGATGCAGGTACTTGGATCAATTCGGCAAAACAAAAGTGCACACACCAATTTGTCCATTCTATGGACACCCTAACCCACCAGCACCATGTCCATGTCCGTTAAGACAAGCTTGGGGAAGCCTTGATGCACTGATAGGTCGTTTAAGAGCAGCTTTTGAAGAAAATGGAGGAAAACCTGATACAAATCCATTTGGTGCAAGAGCTGTTAGGCTTTACCTTCGTGAAGTTCGTGATCTTCAATCCAAAGCAAGAGGTATTAGCTATGAGAAAAAGAAAAGAAAACGACCACCACCGCAACAACAGCATCAGCAGCAACAACAACATCAACAGCTTCAACAATTACCAATGCAATTGCCTCTTCATCTTTGTCACCATCAACATCAGCTTCCACCTCCAGGTGCAACTCAATAAATGGAACTCTTCTCATATTCCATGGCTCTATCTCTACTTTATCTTCATGAATATTTATTTTCTAATTAATTTAAGTACTAGTAGGTTTAGGGTTTTATTATTTTGTCAGTTAATTTTTGTGCAAGATTCTGGTTGTCATTAATTTCTTGTATTTATATATGTATGTATGTATTCTGCTTGATGCAGCAAAAGCAGAAATTGAAGATAAAATTATGAATCTGGTTATATAATGACAACAGTTAATTAATGGTACTTGCAGTAAGCTTTTAGTTGAAGTTGCAGAAAAGTAGTGGTGACCGGTAAGAGTAAATTAATTAATGTACAAGAGGAACATGATCTTAGTTAATAACCAAAAGCTTCTCATAATTATAAATAATATAATAATTAATATTTTGTAAACACTAGGTTGGCTAGTAGGAGTTCGAGTTCTGGTAGGCATTAACAATTTTTGTGTTTGGTCAGTTCATATAAGTTTAAGTATAAACTGAATTAGAATCTGGTCAGTGTCAGTCACAATTTTTATGTTTGATTAGTTCATATAATATAAAGCTGAGTATGTTAAGTATGAGCTGAATTAGAATCTGGTCAGTTGTCAGTCACAATTTTTGTGTATGATTAGTTAATATAAAGCTGAGTATGAGTTGAGCTAGAATCTTTTTGTGTTTGATTAGTTCATATAAAGCTGAGTATGAGTTGAGTTAGAATTGGTAAGTCAATTTGTAATATATTTTGGCTTGATTTTTTACCTAGTAAGTTACTAATTTAAACTAGTACTAATATACTATACTCATGTTGAAAAAAACTATAGTAGTATAGTACTTTACATATTGTCTGGTTGATTGGGGCCTTTTATTAAAGAATGATAGGGCCCTTTAAGCTTAATGAGAAGACATGAGAATTTGATTTGTCTTTTTTCTTCTTGCATCAAGAGTTAATACTGCTGACTTGGTCAATTTGATTGATGATATGATATTATGATACTATATACTGCTTCATATGTTTTGCAGTAGTGCTGTCACTTCACTTGAAGGGAAATGACCAAATAAAGGATAAATTAATGGCAGACAATGTAATTAATAATTCCTGTCACTAAACTTTTTTTTTTTACTTACAAAAATATATTAATTTTTGTATAATACCAGTAGTAATTTGCTTCCTACATTAATTAATTCTTGCTTCCAAATTAGTTAGGTTAATTGTGTCCATCCATATTGGAAACACTTCAAATCTATATACCTACTATAGTGAACAATGTCCATTGAATTAGAAATATATTTAACTATTTATTATTTCTACTAAAAATTTATTTATTATTTTTTGAGAGGTAAACAGAAAATATTGAGAGATCATCATGCATGTATGTAGAAATATTTTCATAAAGAATTCATCGAGCGGGCAAATTTGTTTAAAAAAAGTTTAAATTTAAGTAAAATCTCTTGTTCTTTCTTTTTGGTTCAGAGTTTTAATTTTTGCAATCCCTATGTTTTATGAAGAGACACCTATTGTAATTTATTTTAATTTGACCAAGTAGCTATAGAAGAAATGAACAATAGAATACACGATAGATGTTGGGGATTAGCGAACCTTGTTTATTTTTCTTTTTGAGTGATTCTAGTGGGGTATATATGTGACCACTTTGAGACATAGAGGATCTATTCCTTCCTCTAATCATTTAAGTATGTTAATTTTTTGGTCTAGTTAGTTATGTTTAGGTACTTTAGGTAGTAATTTAGTATAACTTTTCTTTATCACTTTAAGCTTAATTATGTTTAGGTACTTTTAATACTTTGAATTTAGTCTATGTTCAATTTTCTGAAAATTTGATTTTGAACCTTCAATGACTTTTGTTTGAAATTATTTATGTGACTATGACAAGGATAAATGATGTTGATATGGATCCAAATGTTCTGACTCATTAAGTTCTATTATGAAAATTATAAAAATGGTTACTCTTTCCGTTTAAAAATAATTATTTTTAGTAAATAAAATTAGTTTTAAAATAATTGGAATTTTAACTTTTTAATTTAATTATGATTATAATTTTTTAATTATTATTTGTACACTATTTTTAATATTTTAATAAAGTTAATTTAGTAAAACATGATAATATTATTAATCTGTGTGTAAAAGTCGTGAACGAAGATATTTTGAAAGACTGAGAATATTAATTTAATTTTAAAATAATCAAATAAAAAAGAAAATAAATGGTTGAATTTAGGATTTTCAAGGTTGAGAATCATACTTATTAGATTTGGGTGAATAATAACTATATATTTGTTTTTATAAAGAAATTAAAATTTATTTTGTAAAGGAGATTTGATTCAATTGTTAATTTTTAAACATTTGTTGTGCAAATTATATCACAACTATACTTCACTACTATATAAATAACTTGCACACTTTATTTTCATTAGTGTAATCTTATATCTCATTATGTGCAATGGTCAATCAAATTATTTAGATGTGGACACTTTAGATTTGGGTGATCCAAGCGATTTCATATTTGAGAATCTCCACCAGTTCGACCAGAAACAAACCCCCATTCATTAATTTTTTTCTCAGTATTTTCGTTGTTTCCGGTTAATTTTAGTTGTTTGTTTGGTTATTCTCCATATATATATATATATATATATATATATATATATATATATATATATATATATATATATATATATATATATATATATATATATATATATATATATATATATATATATATATATATATATATATATATATATATATATATATATATATATATATATATATATATATATATATATATATATATATATATATATATATATATATATATATATATATATATATATATATATATATATATATATATATATATATATATATATATATATATATATATATATATATATATATATATATATATATATATATATATATATATATATATATATATATATATATATATATATATATATATATATATATATATATATATATATATATATATATATATATATATATATATATATATATATATATATATATATATATATATATATATATATATATATTTTGATATTTTTGTTTGAATTTATGCAAAATTTCAATTGATGTATGCTCTCTCGTATCCTCCTTCCACTTCCTCTGAAAATTCTTGTGTGTTTATTGGTTATTATTTAGTTGTGGAAGGTTTAGCATTGTTATGCGTAGAATTATCATTTTTTTCTGTCTATGCGTTGTTATTTCTTTCGGTTTTCTTTTTCTCTTTTTTATTTTATTTTATTTTATTATTTTGTCAAAGGAGAAAGTTTTTATGATTAAACTCATTTTTACACAAATGAGTGTGAATAAAAAGTTGTGTTCAATCACGTTATGTATTGAAGTGAAAATCACGTAATAAAATATGGACAGTTGCAACGTGATTTTCACGTCACTAATATTTTTAATATTAAAATAATAAGAAGTAAAGGTAGCACATGATCGGTCAGATTTAAAAAAAAAAAATATTTGTGACGTGAAAATCACATCGCAACATTTAAATTAAAAAAACAATTAAAATGTCAGATCTACTAAAGCGGAAAGGGAGAAATTTTCAAATTTTTTGTTGTGACGTGAATATCAAGTCGCAACCATTTAGGAGGAGAAAAAAATCTGACACAGAAGTGAATGGTCACTGGTGTTGCAGGCAGTGGCGGAGCCAGAAAGTTTTTGAAGCTTGGGCAAAAATTTAAAGACAATAAATTCATATTGTATATATAAATAATTATTAATCAAAATAAAAGATTTTTAATTTAATTGATTTCGGCATAATGTTAAAACTAACATAGCCATATCCAATTTGAGGCTGATACTAACATGAAATATCATTTCATGTGATTCATAATAATTCTTGAAATTAGCAACAAGTTAACAACATAATTTTATTTACTAACTACTGTAACTACAAATTAAATTTAAAATACAAATTCCTAGTTAACATAAATTGAACCATATAATTTAGAGTGAACATAAATTGAAGAATTGAACCTAATATATTTTTTATATTATTTGAGGATAAAATTTATTTTTTTCTTCTTCTTTTTTACAACACTATACATGTTTTTTTTTTTATAATTTTAGTAGCTGCTACTTTTATGTTAAATTTTATTTTTTTAAGTATTAATTTTTTGTTTTTGGTTAATTTGGTCATAAATAGCAACTTTATTTTAATTTTGCACTTTTTGTAATATAGTTGAATCTAAATATTATTATATAAAAAAATTAATATAATGTATGCTTAATTGCATAAAAAAGGAAAAAAAATATTTTATTTGTGAAAAATGTTTAAATTACGGCGGTTAAAACTGCCATTATCAGCGACAAAAAACCGCCTTTTTATTTAATATATATTATGACATGAGAAATTTTATTCAAAAGTACTATTTTTCTGCATTTTCGTTAATTGTGGCGGTTTTAACCGCCATAACAGCACTTATTAACCGCCACAATTTTCATATTCTTTAATAAAAGAAGGCAAAATTTTGGGGCCGAGCCCGGGCACATGCCCAGCCTGGCCGGGCCTTAAAACCGCCCATGGTTGCAGGTTGACTGACAAAATCAATATGACCGTTGGAACTTTTGCAACGTGAATATCACGTGGCAAATAATCACGTCGCTATGTGATTAATGTGAATTTTTAAAATTTAGCTGTTATAGGTTGCGATGTAAATTTTATGTGGCAACGTTGCGACATGAAATTCACGTTCCTAGGGTTTTATTTATCACATGCGCGCCCAACTTTTCAAACCACACTAATTTATTACCATTTTCTTCTTTCTCTGTTTCTTCTTCTTCTTACCTATACAATCTATTTCTTTTTTTTCTTCTTCTACTTTGTTTCTTACCTGCACAATCTGTTTCTTCTTCTTCTTTGTTTCTTCATTTTTCTACCTCTATTTCTTCATTTTTCTTATTCAAGTAATATATATTTTCACTTAATATGATTATTGTTGAATTTATTTTTATTAATATCGTTTAAAATGCATTTTTATCTAAGTTTAATATTTTTTTTGGATCAAATTATCAATGTTATTGAAAAAAGAAAACAAGAAGGAGATTGAAGAAGATAATTTACTAGAAATTCAAGGAGTTTGAAGAAGAGGTATTTTTTTCTATTTAATTTTTTATTTTAGTTTAATTTATTAATTTTGGATTGTTGGTAGATGTTTAATTTATTTTGTTATTGCAAAATATTTTGTAAATTAATTTTTTCTGTTTAAAGTATTATATTAATATTTTTTATATTTATTTTCTGTATTTATTTTCTGAAACGCAAAATAAACAATTTATTAATATTTTTTGTAGTTTTTGCATATAAAATTATTACATTAAAATTTTTCAATTTTTTCTGTTTAAATAATTTAAAATTATTAATATAAAAATATTTTTTCTGTATTTATTTTCTGTTTTTATCTTTTATAATTTTAAAACAGATTATATATATCAATATAGAAATAGAAAAAAAAAAAAAATATATATATATATATATATATATATATATATATATATATATATATATATATATATATATATATATATATATATATATATATATATATATATATATATATATATATATATATATATATATATATATATATATATATATATATATATATATATATATATATATATATATATATATATATATATATATATATATATATATATATATATATATATATAATCAATTTATTTATATATATATTTTTAAACAGAATATTAATTTTTTGTGAATATAAATATTTTTTAAATAGAATTTTAAAACAGAATATTAAATTGATATTATTTTTATTTATATATTAAAACAGAATAAATTTTATATATAATCATATTTTTAAAGTTATATATATATATATATATATATATATATATATATATATATATATATATATATATATATATATATATATATATATATATATATATATATATATATATATATATATATATATATATATATATATATATATATATATATATATATATATATATATATATATATATATATATATATATATATATATATATTAAAACAGAATATTAAAATTATATTTATGTTTCATTTTTAATGTTTAAAAACAGAATATAATTTTTAGAAATAAAATATTAAAGGCAAAACACCTTTTTTGGTCCCTTAACTATACCTCGGTGTTCATTTTGCTCCCTTAACTTTAAAAAGTTCCATATTGGTCCCTTAACTCTTCAAATGTTCCATATTAGTCTTTTTTGACCTATTAGCGACGGATTTAACGACAGTTTTTTAATTTTTTTCCGTCGCTAATAGGTCAAAAAGGACTAATATGGAACGTTTGAAGAGTTAAGGGATCAATATGGAACTTTTTAAAGTTAAGGGACCAAAATGAACCCCGAGGTATAGTTAAGGGACCAAGAAAGATATTTTGCCAATATTAAAAACAGAAATATATTAGTTTTAATGTTTTATTTATTTTTTGTTATATTTATATTAGAAACAGAATTATATTTATGTTATTATGTGTTATTAAAACCAAATTTTTATATATATAGTATAAATTTATATATTAAAAACAGAATAATAAAAACAAAATATATTATTTTTAATGTTTTATTTTTATTTGGCTATATTTATATTAGAGACAAAATTATATTTATATTATTATTATTTGTTATTATAAAATATTTTTGTTATATATTTGTTATTAAACACAGGTTTTTATATATAGTATAAATTTATATATTAAAAATAGTATATGTTTAATAGTATATATAGAATACATTTTTAATAGTATATGTTTTATAGTATATAGCATGTGTAATAGTTAAAAAAAAATATAGTTAAGAATAATATATATTAAATAGTTTAAATTTTTTATAATTATTGTTTAATAGTATATTTAGTATATATAATTAATAGTTAAAACAAATTAAAACAATATGTTATATTAATTATGAAATATGTTGAATTATATGTTATGTGTGTATTATATGTCATGTTATATGTATATTTTATATGTTACGTTTTGCTTATTAATCATATGTATTATATTTTATATTATATGTTTATTAAATGTGTAGTTAAAGTAGAAAGTTTGTTTATATTAAAAGTAATTTTTAGTTAATATAAGTTTATGCTAAAGAATAATAATAAGTTAGTTAATACTTGTATCTAATATTTTATAAAAATTCTTAAAACTGATATTAAAATCACATTTATAATTAAAAAGATAATGATTGTATAAATGTGTAGTATGGAGTATTATAGATATTATCGTAGTTGGATGTACAATAGGTTGTATCTAGGAAGACGCGGATTTAAACCAAATATTAAGGAGGGAGTTAAAGGGTTTATCACGTTAGCATTTTCTCAAGAATGTTGCCGAAGCGAAGGAGGAGTTAGATGTCCTTGTCTTAAATGTGGACTCAGACCTATAATTAGTGACCCAGAGGAAGTAGAACGACATTTGAAGAGAAGAGGTTTCATTGAAAATTATTGGGTTTGGACATATAATTGAGAAAAACTGCCGAGTAGCGTACCAGAGACCACTAATATGCATGCTTCAAGTAGTCAATCACCGATGGAACATAGGGAAAACTTTAATGTGATCAGTGACATGGTGGGCGATGCTTTTGGTGTGAACGTGACCTATGATGAACCTGAAGATTTTGATGGGGAAGAGTTACCGAATGAGGAAGCGCAAAAATTTTATCAGTTGCTGAATGAGATGAATACGCCGTTGTTTGAGGGGTCGTCGGACTCAAAGTTATCAATGTGTGTGAGATTATTGGATGCCAAATCAAATTGGAATGTTTCTGATCAGTGTTTGGAATTCTTCGCAAAAATGATGCTCAATTTGACTCGTACGAAAGACAACTTGCCTACAAGTTTTTATGATGCAAAGAGGTTGGTGTCAAAGTTGGATTTAGAAGTAAGAAAGATTGATTGTTGCATTAGTGGTTGCATGTTGTTTTATGACAATGAGTTTGGTACTAATGATGAAGCGTTGGAGGAATGTAAGTTCTGTAGGAGTCCAAGATATAAAGTTTGTAGTAAAGTCATTGACCGTAAGCAAAAATGTGTAGCAGTGAAGTCCATGTTTTATCTTTCGATAATACCAAGGTTGAAAAGAATGTTTGCTTCAATGCACAGTTCAAGTCAAATGACATGGCATCATACAAATAAAATAAGTTCAAGCACTATGCGACATCCATCTGATGGTGAGGCATGGAAGCACTTTGATCGCATACATACTGATTTTGTTGCAGAACCTAGAAATGTGAGGCTTAGATTATGCTCTGATGGTTTTACTCCATATGTCCAAGCATCTGGAAGTGGGTATTCTTGTTGGCCAGTTGTTGTAACCCCTTACAACCTCCCTCATGAGATGTGCATGACAAAACCATACATGTTTTTGACCTGCATCATTCCAGGACCATCGAGTCCAAAATCCGGAATCGATGTGTACTTATAACCTTTAATTGATGATTTGAAGAGTTTGTGGATTGGAGAATGAACTTATGATATATCAAGTAAACAAAACTTTACTATGAGATTTGCCTTGATGTGGACTATTAACGACTTTCCAGCATATGACATGTTGTCTAGATGGGGTACTCGCACGGAAAAATGGGATGTCCGCATTGCACGGGGAACACCAAGGCGTTTATGTTGGAAAAGGGGGAAAATGTTCGTGATTTGACTGTCACCGTAGATTTCTACCAAGAAATCATCCCTATAGAAGAAACAAGACTGATTTCAAAAAAGATGAACGAGTAACAGATTTGCCTCCGCCTCAATTGTCACCAGGTGAAGTATGGAACCAAATTTGTGAACTACCAAAATTCACATATATTGGTAAAACATGTAGAATTCAAGGATATGGAGTCACACACAATTGGACAAAAAGAATTATATTTTGAGACCTCCCATATTGGAAAGATGATTTGTTGCGCCATAATCTTGATGTTATGCATATTGAGAAGAATTTTTTTGATAATGTATTTAACACGGTGATGGATGTTAAAGACAAAACTAAAGATAATGAGAAGGCTAGACTAGACATGGAAATTTGGTGTAATAGAAAAGAGTTGGAGTTGAAGCGTCAACCAAATGGAAAATTGTTAAAACCCAAGGCGAATTATAGTTTAACTTCCCAAGAAGCTAAAGCGGTTTGTCGATGGTTAAAAGAATTGAGAATGCCTGATGGTTATGCTTCAAATTTTCCAAGGGGTGCCGACGTTAACACTGAGAAGTTGCACGATATGAAAAGTCATGATTGCCATGTTTTTATGGAACAATTTCTTCTAATTGCGTTCGGTTCACTACCCAATCATGTGCTTAATCCACTAATTGAAATTAGTCAATTTTTTAGAGATATTTTTGCGTCAGCTTTAAGAGTGGATGACATCGTTAAGTTGGACCGATATATTCCAGTCATTCTCTGTAAGTTGGAACAAGTATTTCCGCCTGGGTTTTTTTACTCTATGGAACATCTACCTATGCATCTTGCATATGAAGCTTTTATTGGAGGCCCGGTTCAATATAGGTGGATGTATCCTTTTGAAAGGTTCATGGGTGATTCAAAGCGATCGGTGAAAAATAAAGCTAAAGTTGAAAGATCAATATGTGCACATTACTTGCATCAAGAAACATCTCATTTTTGCAGTCACTATTTCAATCACTTGATGTTAACTCCAAGAATCATAAGGAATCCTATAAATGTTAACGAAAGAAGTCAATTTACCTTATCAGTCTCCGGGCTTCCTGGTCGTCCCTCTGGAAAGAAGGGTGTGCATTGGCTGACTCAAAAAGAAATGCAATCAGCATATGTTCATGTCTTAATTAACTGCGTTGAAGTTAAACTATATCTTGAGTAAGCATATCTCAATTGTTTAATATTATTTATCGTATGAATACAAAAGTTATTACCTTGAATATAATAGTGTGTTTCTTTATAGGGAATTTAACATCTCCTACTTTCATAGCACCGGTGTACAAGCAACATCTGGTCACATACATGCTCATTTTCCAGCATGGTTCAAGGAGAAATTGCCATGCATTATTGCATCGACTCAAGAAATACTCCATCTGAGAAACTTGTCCGAAGGCCCTATTCAAAGCACAAATGAATGGCATACATACTTCGTGAACGAATATAAATTTCACACTGAGACATGGACTGAATGGAAAAAAACCATAAATAGTGGTGTATTTGTAAAAGAAGTTACAGATGGTGGTGAGAATGACTTATATGGCTTTGTTAAACATATATACGAGTTGGTATACAATTATTTGGACTCAGAAAATAAATTTGTCTTATTTTATTGTGACTGGTATGATCCATCGGCCAAGGGTACAAAAATAGATAAGACATATGGTATTGTTGAAATTCGAATGGACCGAAGGCACAAAGAGTATGAACCTTTCATAATGTCATATATTGTTAGACAAGTTTACTATGTTCCTTATCCTTCAATTGTACCACGCAAACGAGAGTGGTCTTTTGTAATCAAAACAAAGTCATTGGGCCATATTGAAACTGGCGATCTAGTGGAAGATGTTGCTTACCAAGTTGATGAAGTTGAATAAATTAATGATGTGATTGCAGTTGAACAAATTACAAGTTTGTCTGATACAACTATTGATGGGCATCAAGTTGATGCGTCTATATTGTTGGATGAAAATGAAGATCACGACGAGCATGAAGAGTTTGGGTCAGAGGATAATATCACAGTAGATAATGATAACGATATGGATGAACATGATTTTGAATAAACTGTTTTTGTAATTTAACTTGATGAAACCTTGTATTGAATGTGTTATCGATATATATTTATGTGATTGTCTTTTTTAAGATTTATTATTTTTGTTGTTCATGAATATATATTAAATGTGTATTCTACATAAATAGGTAAAGTGCCACCTCGAACTGATAAAAATAAGAGTAAGAAGTCCCAACGTCCGAGAGTAGTAGTATGTCAGGCACCTCAGTCGACCATGTGTCCTCCTTCGCAGAGTCAGTTAGATTCTATGTCCATGGCCAGTTCTCAGTCTTTCATGACACTTCTCTCCCCTCACGAGTATCCAGCTTTTATTAGCCCATCTGGGGCTCCGTCTTTTATTAGCCCATCAAAGGGACTAGCTTTTATTAGCCTATCTAGGGGCCCTAGTTATCCATATCCACAACCTGGGGGACCTAGTTATCCATACCAACAGGTACCCTCATCCTTCACACAGTCTGTGGGATCTAGCTTTCCACCTCCCTACTAGTAGGTTCCCACACCCTTCATGCAGTCAGGGGGATCTACTTTTTCAACTCCCCCACAAGTACCCTCATCCTTCACCAGTCTGAGGGACCCCACCCCGCACAAACCACACAACTACCCTTACCATCCACACATATACCTATGCGTGAGGATAATGATGAGGAGGCAGGTGATGACGATCATGAGGTGGATGATGAGGAGGCAGCTGAGGTGGTTCAAATCATTAATGGAAGATATTTTATTTGACCCAGTGGAAATTCGTAAGTTTTAAATTTTTAAGTATACATGTTTCCATTTTTTATATTAACTTATATTTCATATTAATATAAATTATTGATGTTTAGTTTCGAGCCGAGTCAGATTGTTGCCTAGTGTAAGTTATGTTATTCAGCAAAATTATTAAAAAAAACTTGGAAGAGATTTAGAGAAATTAAGGGGGACGAAAGAGAAGCTTGGTTTAATTTATTTAAGGTATAATTAATTTATTTTTGTTAATTTATGTAATTTATTTCTTAACTTATTTTTGTTTTAATTATTTTTTATTATAATTTCCTAACTATTTTATTTGAATGTCATAAAACATTATAGGAAAAGTGTACGTGGGAAAAAATGAATGAGAAAGAGGTTAGAAAAATTATTTTGGCAGAACAGTAGTTCGACTTTCTAACATGCTACGGCGTGCTAGAAAGCGTTGGGAACATGAAAATATTCGTCCCAACTGGATAGGCAAAGAATTTTTCGATGAAGTTCTTATTTATTGGGATTCAGATGTTGAATTTAAGACAAGATATGAAAAAGCAAAAAAAAAGAGCATCTGAAAAAGGGGGTAGCCTTAATGCAGTTGGAAGTATAAGTGTTACCGAACATGCTCGACGCATGGTAATTATTACTTCTATTTTAAGTTATATTATGATTTATTATATATTTTTAATTAAAGTTAATTTTATTATTTAGGAAAAGAGATTAGGGAGACCTCCACTCATGATTGAGCTAGTTGTAAAGACTAGAACAAAGAAATCGGGGGGCTTTGTTGACGAACGCACCAAAAAAGCTGTGGTAAGTAAATCGTTTCACTTTATTTTTATTTTTTAAATTTTTTTAATTTAAAAAAAATTTTGTGACGTGATTATCAATTGGCAGCTGAGATATTGTGGCGTGAAAACCACGTGGAAAAATTTATTATTTAATTTAAGTTAAATGATTTAAGCTATATTCAATTTAATTTTTTTTAAATTTTATGTGTAGGAGG